TTTCCAAAAATTCAATGCCCTTTGGAAATTGAATTCGATTCAAAGTCATTCTCACATATTTTTTTTCCAGCATCAACACTTTCTCCGATTATTTCTGGCTGCCGTTTGGACGGAGAAGACATCTTCTGTATATGTCCACCTAGACGTGTACTTTATCGCAAAATGGCATCGAACAGTACAAGTGCCAACAATTTGGTAGATGATTCCAAAGTATCACTGATAGATGCGGTTCGAGAGGCAAATCTAGCCAGTAGTGGGAATAATAATAATGGATTGAGTGGTGGAGCTATCGCTGGTATTGTTATTGCAGTTGTGGTGAGTCAGCTTGAACTGAATTTGGAACCTAGGTTTAAAAATAAGTAGAGAGTTGATTCAGTGCTCAAATAAAACCATTGGTTTGCTTGGAACATAAGAAAATTGATTTTAAAAAATTTGAAAAATGGAACTATGTAAAATTCACACTTTGGGATGTATTTTTTTTCAGAGCTCTAAAACAATGTTTTTTAATGATTTCCAAATCTTTTACAAACTGAACGGCGTTAAAAATTGACAAAAATCTCAACATTAGTTCCAAATATGTATTTTTATAAAATATCTTTTTCAGTTTTTTGAATTTCTGGAAATTGATTGCCGCTGTTATATTTTTTGAATATTTTTCAATAAGAACATTTTGTTATTGAAGCAAAGTCTTCCAAAAAAAAGACATTCCGAAGAAAAACTAAAATCCATATGTCAGTTAGGAACCAGATTTTAGGTTTTCAACTCACTGTAACTACGCTGTGAAATATATTTTATTCCGTGTGACTTTAAAAATAATTTTAAGCCCATTTTTCAATCCAAGTTCTTTTTTGTCCCCACATGTACAACAAAATTGTATTTTTCTTGAAAACTAGATGCACCTTAGGATACGAGGCTCCAACATCAGCTTTCAGAAAGTTGTGACTTTCTTTTTTATCGATTTTTGATCCCATGTAGGTTTTTTTCAAGGAAACCCCCTTGAAAGACTCAGGAAAAGTTCTAAAACTTGCAGGTTGGTGTTCTGCTCATCGCTGTTCTGGGATTCTTCGCCTTCAGATACATCAAGGATCGCAGGAAAAACCACGGCGAGTACCGTCCACAGTTTGAAGAGCAACATCACGCCAAAGATCTACCGTACCTGCAGCCACCAAACCTGGAGGGTCTAATCTGAAACTGCTCGCTTCTCCTCATCATCATTTTTTCTTCACGATTCATTTCAATGAAATTTGGGCCCCTCTCATATGTGTATTTATTGTTCCCCGTTATACGTCTTCATCATTTTTCTTTCTGCACTTTTTGTTTCCCATTTACGCATGACAGTTGCAATAGTGATTTGCCTCGAATAAAGCGATTTTTTGTACAAGAGAGTCGAGTGTTTGATCTTCCAAAAATCATTATCATTAGGTCAAAAAAATTTGTGCAGTCTTTCCGTTTTTTTACTTTTCCGTTTTTGCCGGAAAACGTGGCGGCTGTGGAAGGAGCACAACCTTTGAAAGAAATTGACAGATAAGCAGAGTTTCTATAAACAATGTGTGATTGACAAAAAAAAATCAAAAGTGACACCATTTTTTAATTTTTCATTCTTCAAATGACGAGCCAGTTTTTTGCCATTTTTAGTATTTTTTTGGCCTGTATGGATTGATGATCTATTTTTCTATAAAAAAATTAGCAAGCTGGTGCGCCTTTGGCGCGAATCAACCTAGTTTTTTTACTTATTGGTCGCTTTACCTTTTTTAACGGGCCACGTAAATCTATTTTTATTTTTCAAGTTTTTCAAAAGTTGACAGAGTGACACCGGGACAGACAGACGCGTGTAGCGTTTTATAAATAAGAAGAATACTGGAAAATAGTGATCAACAAGTGTTGAAAATAATTTAATAGAAAATTTCATTCGATTTTGATGATTTTAATGCTCAACTGCCGATGAAAACATTCAAAAACTCGCAATTTCGTCTTTTTGTGTCGTTTCCTTTAGTTAACAGCTCCGTGAAAAGTTGTTCCACTAGAAAAATTATGTAATCAGAAAAAAGATAAATTTAAACCTTGAAATTCCGTGAAATTTCAACTGAAATTATCTGAAAACATCTTCAAAAACGAGATTCTCCGAATATTCCAAAAATCTCAAACGACACTCCGCTATTTTGCGTGCGCGCGCGGTTTAGTGGAGGCGCACTCGAGCGCCCGTGCACTTGGCCGTCGGACTTGTTTACTGCGAATCTTCGGCCATGGCCATGTTTTTCACGTTTTACTAGATATTTTCATGCTTTTCTTGACGCAAAATGGTCATTGGTGTCTTGTTTTTTAGTTTTCACAAGTTCTTCTATGTTAGAACAACTTTTTGACTAGAAGAATTCTGGTATATACAAGTCACAATGCACCTGAATCATCTCCAGTGACTGATTAACTCGCATTACAGTGCACCAAAACCTCGCGCATCTCTTATCAGTTTAGTTCTTGTCTGTTTTCATTTCTCACGTGGGTAGAAGACGAGATAAGAGAGAAATAGGAGAGATTCAGAGAAAACTGAGATGAGACTACTGATCACTGCCGATGACTGTCCATTCCGTTTGGACATATTCTCTAGCTAACCATTCGCTTCGATTCGATTCTCAATGAATTCGAACTATTCTTCATTTTTAGTTTGGAATCGGTGGCATGTGACGGCCAAAAATGCACTTGGTCTCTCTCCAAACAAGACCAACCACCCTTTTTTTTGTTATTCTGGTTGCGTACCCCTCGTTGCATGAACGAAACATTGATAAGAACTGATCATTTCCAACTATTTTCAGACATACATGTTCACTGCCGGGTCTTCTTCAAAACATCAACGTTTGTGGCAGGCTTCGAAGCGGTTTATTAGTTCCAATGAAGTTGCACAGGCTCTCAGGCCATTCTTGTTTTTGGTACACCCTGATAAGTGAGTTTTAACAAGACAGGATGAATAAAATATCAATTGTCAAGTTTCTTTTAGGTACGCAAAGTTTCCGGAGATCCAGACACAAAACGAGAAATCGTTGCAAATCTTCAATGGCTACATGAACGACCTGTTTCCCGTGTCGCCATCATTGAAGCCCACAAAAGTGAGTGCAAATTTTTCATGTTCAAATTTTACTCGGATTGCTCAGTTATCGATTTTCTAAGGATTCAAAAAAGACAAAAAAAACCTTTCCAGGTCAGTTTCTCCATCGCCGACAAACAGTCAACAACGTTTCGTAAAATTCACATCAATCTAACCGGCACTGACCCAGCCAAAATTGTAAGGTCAGTCATATCACGTCATGTTAATGATCAGTTCTTCACAACTTTTGTTTGCAGAGAAGCGTTGGAATCGTGCGAGTTGAGTACGTCAGAACTCAAGTTCAAGAATAATGGGTTAGCCGGAGGATCCAAACAGAATTCTGGAGGTCTTGGATTCAATACGACAAATGTGGAGGAGGATTTGTTGAGATCGTAAGTTTTTACTTGCTTTTTTGTTGTTCTAGAAGACTTTAGATCATATTCCTCATCGTTAAGTATTTTTCAGGTACCTCAAAAGAAAGAAAGCCACAGTTATCACGAATCTCTATGATTCTTTGACCAATCAACGCGATGAGGCAATGAGAAAAAAGAGAGAAGCGAAAACACTTCGTGTCTCGATTCAAGAGGATATTTCTGATTTGAAATATAGAACGCAGCTGAAAGATGTGAGTTTTTGGCGATTTCTGTAATATACGGTATCTTTTTGAACCTAGCAAAACTTGATCTTGAAATATTGATTTTTTGAGTGGCTGACAAGATGCTTTAAAAGATCACCCGAAAATTAACAACACAGAATGTGCCGAATGCTTCAGGTTGTATGGCAAATGCACTGGGAACAATCTCATATGCGACGATGCATTGCAAATGTGAACCGAATGCTTGACCAAGCAGTTCCAGAGACTAGGATAATTCTTGAAAAGGCTTTTTTCAAAAACGTACTACGATTTGGAAGAGGATCCTTCATCTGCTGTGATGGTTCAATCCAACTCGGAGCGGATCACGTCCCAGAGCAATGGGAGCAAATCTGTCAGGAGTATCAGATTCGCAAAAATCAGATTCCAATTCTCAAAGAGACTGCAAAACAATTAGAGCAAACGTTTGGAGGTGCACAGATATTGCTGCCTCATAATAAAGGATTGGCTCAGACACTCACTCAGTTGCAGACGTTGACAGTAAGAGTGTGGAAGAAGGAGGCGTTGTTGCGAAGAGTGGAGGATTCGGCGAAGAATTCAATGCTAGAAGTAAGTCTTCAACAAAAAGCAGATTGATTTTAATCCAGTATTATTCCAGGTGGTCACTTCATATGACGAGTTGGCTATTGGAGTCGATGGTCGGCTGTATATTCCATGTAATGTTGATGTGCCATCGCTGGTTCAATTTTTGGAAGAGAATGCAGAGAAGGCAATTGAGCTCAATCGAACCATGCATCATTTAAATGTGAGTTTTTTTTCAAGCAAAAGTTTGTTAAAATAGAGAAAAAAGCTTCAAGGCAACTACGACCCAGAGCGGTACTGTATTAAAGAGAATAAAAACGTATTTTTCTCGTAATTTCGTTTATACAAGCTCGAGAAGTAGAACTTGGCACATAATACGAAGAATACAACAATTTTGGGGTCGTTGGGGGAGCGAAGCAATGAACGGGATCGAACATTTCCGTTCGGAGATGAAAAATGCCTGAAAAAGCCACATTGTGTTGACTTAAATCTTCATGATTTTGTGCTGCAAACGGTTTTGATAGCCACGCGATGTGTTAACACTTATCACTGTACACCATCATGTCAAAATGCAGGTCATAACTCCAAAAAGAAATCGAAAAGTCTTCCCTCCTTAGAGTGCCTAATTGCGATAGGAGAGCAACTTTACAGTTGAAGAGATTTTTAAAACCTCCCCACAAGACAAAAATCATTATAACTCTTTCCATTTTCAGAACGAACTCGAATTCGCTCGCGACGAGTGCATCAAGGAGCTGAAACTCACCGGTCTCAAGTGGGAACAAGCGTTCTCACCGGAAGCTCTTCTGCAATGTGTGTACCGTCTGACTCAATGCTCTGACGAGGTCCGTAATTTGGTCTCCGGACTCTCATTGATCATCTCAGCCAGTCCAAGTATCTATGTCACGAACGATGGAACTCTTTCAATTCCTCTCAATTGGTCATAACTAATATTTTTAGATTAGTAGGTGTCTAGAGTCTGCTTGTTTTGTCTCTTGTTTTGTTTCAATTGGCTTCCTGTGTGCTGGTATATCTTGCGGTAGCATAAATGACTTATCTCTCTTTCATTTTTTGTACAATCATCGAGATCGTGAGTTCCTATATTTTGTGTAATAAACGAGCTTTTGACAAAATCAATGTTTTTCAAATCGCTGTCAATGATTTTTCACGAAAAAATGACAACATTTTATGGAGCACTGATGGGATGGAAACGAAAAGGAACAAAGTGAAAAAAAAACTAGTACTAGATGGTACAATATAACCGGAAGGAGCGTTGATGTGACTGATGAAAAATGTGGGGGCAAACTTACAGATAAATTAGACGAAAAGAATTATGACTAGCAATGTCACATCAGTTTAACAAAAGATTTGTTTAGAAAATATACAAAAAATAGAAATATTTTGGGCACGAAGAATGGAGATGTTGTGGGAGAAAAAGGAATCACAATTGTTGATGGCATTTTTAGAAGATTTGAAAAAATAAAGAAAAATGGGACAAGTAAAAAAATAGGGAGAGATAAAAGTCACTTCGTGAAACACGTAAACATTTTTGAGATTAGAAAATGGACAGTTTTTGAGAGAATTCGGAAAATCTTAAAAAAAAACTAAAGGTAATCCTAATGGCAAGGGGGAAACGAAAAATTGAAAATTCACAATGATATGGCGCTATTCGACGAAGATGGTGGCAAATGATCTTCAATCTCTTCACACGGTAAAGGACCTAATGGTTTGACGTAGGTGAGTGGAAAGAATCCAGTCTGAAAATTGTTTTTCAATAATAGAGAAGACTTTAATCAGATATACCTTGTTGTTAACTTGTCCCTTCCACCATCCGCGGTCCTCACCCACCGTATCCAGTAATACTATGATATCGCCCATTTTAAATGTGAGAAACTTTCCGTCACTATTGGGCTGGGGAGGGTCGTAGTCATGAATGGCTTTGTAGACCTGAAAATTTGAATAGTGTTATACAGAGTCCATTGTCATAGAAAACCCATTCAGTTCGGGAAGTCGAGAAGCCCAATTTTTTTCAAAAAGCCACATTTTCAATAAAAATTTTGGAATTTTTCATCAGTTTACAATTGCTATTTCTTCTTTTTCTATTTGTAGAATTTGTGAAAAATATGTTGTCTGGAAGCCCAGGTTAATTGATAAATGCTGAAGATCCCTTTAAGCAATAGACTTCTACAGTAACCATAACACCCCCAAATTCTTCAGGATTTGAATTCTAGATTACTTTCACTTCCTCATCAAAACGTTCTCCATCACTCTTATCACGAATGTCAAAACTTGAAAACTAGTTTTAAAAGTTACTCATTTCCGATCCATGAAAATGACTAATCTTTCATTTTTTCTAGTTTTATCAGTGACCCTATCATCTTCTTTTTGTTCGACTCAATCAAGTTTTCACCCCCTCTGTATGACTCACTTTGCATTGAGAATACGGTGTTTTGAGACAGGTGTCGAGTGCTTGGAAGATCTCAATCAGGTTATGATCCCTGTAGTATTGCACGAGTTCCTGTAAAAATTGTATTTTTTCAATTGAAAAGTCTCGCCGTGAAAAATTCAATTATAGCAAACCAAGATTCTATTTTCAACGTTTTCAATCAAAAGAATAAACTCACCACAGTCGAATTGAAGACATAATCTTCATCTAAATACATTTTTCCATCTGGATTCTTCTCAATGATCATGTGTTTGACGTCGTTCTTGTAGCTGAAAATAGGTTTCTGATTACAATAGGATATGAGGTCCTAGGGGTCTCATGAATTCTATAAAGCCAATACAACAAATTTGAAAATGAGACTTGGCGGTTTTGATCCTTTTTTGTTTAAAGCTATAAAAATGAAGCGGCCACGTAAAGATGAAATTTGGTCCCAAAAAAACCTCTAAAGTTTTGGTTTTCGCATTTTTTTTATTCATAAGACCATTTATGCCTAGAAGAAAAGTCTTACCTCAAGCTAATAGCAGTCTGCTTCCGATTAGTGCTGTACCTCACCAAGAAGGTTCCGTTCGGCGTTCCGCGTAAAGTGCTCTCAGCTTTTGCTCTTTCCATCTCGCCCATATACCATCTGAAACCCCTGATCTCTGTGTTAACATAATCTTGTTGCCGCCCATTTTCAGTGCCAATAAGATTTGATGAAGACGAGTTTCGCGAAGATCTCGACGACTGAGGATCAGGAACGCTCGAACTTCTCGCACTACTGAAAATTTGGAACCTTAGGCGCTAGGTCGAACAAAACGTGAACAGCCAAAACACAAAAGCGGTGCTCGTTGTTCGGAGAGTGGACTCACGTGGCAACTATGAAAACCATTGGGCAAAAATAGAGAATCACATGCAATTATTCGATGAATGAATATTCGAAACGAAGGTAAATGATAGGATTGCAGGGAAAAAAGAAACAAAACACAGGAATGAGAGTGGGGGTGAAATTAGGATAGCGCACAACGAAAAATAAATCTTTGTCCCACACGATTTCTTTTGTAGGTAAACGACGAAGACTTACGGATCAGATAACACCTTCTTGGGCAGGACAGTGGATTCGTTTCTCGCGATACGAGGGATGATAGAACCAGCTGGAGAATCCATGGGACTGAGGCCAATCATAGATGTTGTCTGGAAAAATCGAAGCATATTGAAAAAAAAAGTAAGAAGCTCTAGGAATGTGTGCAATATATTTAAAACTGTCTGTGAAGAATCAGAGAAAAACTTTGAGAGAGAGAGAGAAAAGAGGAAGAGCTCCGCCTACAAAGTTCGGACGAAGGCGAGAGATGAGTCACACCTGTCGGTATACAAAGGTGTAAGAAATAAATGTATAGCACGAGAAATAGTTAGATGAGAAGAGAATTAGAGAAGAAATGGTGGCGATGATGCTGCTGCTGCTCATTTTAATTTAGCAGGTGTTCGAATGAAACTAACTAGTGTCTAAACATCAAGTACATGAAGAACTTGAGCAAATACACAAAGCTCATCGTGTGTGCAGTACTAAGAACTACAAGGATGGCCAGTGAAATTTTTAGAAATAACTGTTTGGCATTGACTTTGAATATACAGTACCAGTCGATAAAATGTTCAGAAACGTTTTTTCAGTTGATTTTTGACCAGATTTTGACAACTTTCAGGAGTTAGGAGCTGGGTTGTCAAGTTTCCGACATTTTTAAAACTTTGAAGGCCGTAAAACCGACCTAGATTTGAAACTTTGCTTGCACTGAATAATTTTTAAATTAATGATTTTTCAGCAATTCACAGATTTCTAAAAGACATCCGTCTATTTCCACGTTTTAGTACAAAAAACGGGCCAAAACGAGAGAATTGAGAAATTGGAAAATATTTTATATAGTAAAAAAGTGCTGTGAATGCAAAGTTCTCAATTTAGATCTGTTTTAGACTCTTCAAAATTTTCAAAGAAAGCGGAAACTTTACAACCGAGCACCAGACTCTTGAAAATAGGCAAAATAGTCAAAAATCAACAGGAAAACATGTTTTGTATATCTTATTGACCGGTTCTATGTAATTTTATGAATGTCAGTAGGCATTCAAAAATGTAGTTTTGAAAAAAATCAATTTAAAAATTCAACTCACCCGCGACCGCATGATTTGATCCAGATGAACCAGTCCTGTCCGATTCCGATTGTTGGCGAGACACCCGGTGAACCGATTATGCCCTTGCATCTTTATAATCTCAATACTGTCTCCCTTGGAGAATTGAAGGAATGATAGGTCGGATGGTGTGAAATTGGTGTTCGCAGTCACGATGTCTCCTTCACAAACTGGAAATGATCATAAGATTAGGTACTGTAGAATAAGATCTGAAATTAAGTATGAGATTCATACTTCTACGTTGGGGGAGGAAAGAATGATTCGAAAAATGGCATAGACACCGGCACTTTTATTCCGAAAGGAAGATCATGCTTTGTTTTTTTTGCAACCTCTTCCATGTTAGTTCATGCATTTTTTTCAATAATTACAGTAAGACTGGTCCAGTAAGTTTCACCTGTCAGCACACTCCGTAGGACTTGTAAAAATAATTCCATATGAGTTTGTATCAATCGTTCTAATTAGAGGATAACATATTAGCACACCATTTAAAACGAAAAGGGGTTTTTAATTGTTTAAGAACATTTTTGTTACCTTGATGATGCCTTGGCCTATTCGAATTGAAGCTATGTGAGCTTCTCGGCTCATGTGAAGACCTCCTGGTTGGTTCACACTTCTTGAGCCCGAGGCAGTCTTTGTGCATGATCATTTCACAAGCTTCGCATTTGTATCCTTGATACAGTCGTCCTTTCATTAACCTTTCGCACACTCCACATACCAGCGGCTTCTCCACATCTACACGGAAGGTGCTAAAAGAGACCTTGTGATTGCTGTCGCGTAGCGCGTCGGTTGGACACACATTTGATCTGAAATTTGAGAAAATATATATGAGTTCCAGTTAGTACTAGCGACTAACTTTGACAGCAACAAGGCTTTCATCCAGTTCTGCCGATTGACTTCGTTTTTAAAGAAGAACGTTAGTTGTGTAATTTCATTGGAATCCGTCCGATCTCGATGCATGTGAATCACGAATTGGGTCCTCCTGGTGATGGTTCCTCCTGACTTGGTGTCAATAGAAACATTTTGATCAATGTGTAGCTCAGACATGACGTAGGCATTTTTATATGTGAACGTATTTGTCTTTGTAGACAATCCAGTAGTCTTGTCTTTGGGGGACAGTTTACTGGTTGGCTTGCACACCACAATAACCTTATCAAACAGAAAAATGAATCTCGGTTTGGCCTTTCCATAGCTTGTTGCTGTAGATTCTGCCATTTTGACTTCTCCATCAAAATTCACTCTTCCATAGTCATGGAGCTTCACGTTGAGAGGCATTGCAAGATCGGTAATACTTGTTTCAATCCTATCATCGTCATTTTAGATTCCATATCTCTTGTATCTTCATTGATATAGGCGCAAACGTCCTCCATGACATCGACTGCTTCAGACAGCGATTTTAGATCCGGACTATTCACATCGGTTTTCTTCAGAAGTTCCTGGAATATAATAAATATAAAGAAATCAAAGAATTCTCTGGCTTACCCTCAGGAGCAATGGATACTTGGTGATGCGCTGGAACGGGACACACAGAAGGTCGTTGAGCCCAAACTTGCATTGTGCTTCACGAGCCAGCTCATCAATGGTCTTGGCGACAAATTCATTGTTCTGAATGAGCTCTGTCACTAGTTTACGACTATCCGTCAGGTTGCTGCAGTATTTTCCGTATAATAGAAACTGGTCTCGATATCTGGAAAAGAAACGTAGCATGTATGTTGAGACAAAGTTACATGGCGAATGCTCGGCGTTCTAATTGAGCATTTAGGGGTCTTTTTTTGGCTGGAAATGTGGTGCAGGGCCAACAATTGGCCTGCAAAATCATTGCCAGCTCAGAAAAGCGTTTTTGAGCGGACTAGGTACTTGTTGGAGAAGCCTGATTACACTTACTTGATGAAAACCTCTCCAATCGTTTTTGGAACATCTGACCCGTTCAGTGATGTTGGTCGTTGAATTTTCGAATCAGCAGCAGCACACGCCAGCTTTACGGGATACTCCAAATCAGCCAGAAAATTAATGTGCAGCCGATAGATATCCTCAATGTTTCCAAACATTATTTTGTAATCCTCGGTTGAAATAATTCCAATCATTTTTTCGTAAAAGAAAGTGATAATCTCGGATAACGCTTTCCGCACGTATCGTTCTTCCGTTTCATGCAGCTCTCGAATACATCGATTTCGTTTTAATGTCGGTGTGTTTTGAAGCTGAAATTATGGGAAATTTTGCTTCAACTTTAGATGAAAGATTTGTCAAAAAATTAAAAAAACTCACATCGTTTTCATTCATACTCGGCTTCCTATTCGTCACGATCTTGTCATACACCTGCTCACTCTGCTTCTCTTCCGGATCCACACTAAAAACTCAAACTTAATGATTTTTTATTCATTTTAAATCATACCTTGTAATTGGCCCATAAATCGTCTCATCTGGTTTCACTGAATCGATATTCGTGGGCAAAGACTGATAAATATCCTCATCATCTACAAATTGCGGACTGCTCGATGTACTCTGGACACTTGTATCTCTTTCCGGGAATGGACTAAAGGAATTTAAGATTTTTCTCAAATATATGAAATCTCATAAACTCACTGGGCTCCTTTACTAATCGATTCTTCGGTATTTGACAAAATTGAGAGGGTCTTCAGCATTTGTTGAAACTCATCCATCCGATAAAATTTATCCGGATCGAATACTTGAGAGTCTGTGAGATTGAAATGGGATTTACAGAAGTCGACGAACAGCCTGATATTGTTGGTGCAGGTGAACTGTAAATTTTAGAATTTCAGGAGAAATTTGTAGTAGAAAGGCTTACTTGAGACTGTTGTGTGGCTTTAATGAGAGAGTTCTGGTTGATGGCATTAGGGACGAGGATGTTGGCAAGACGGCAAAGAAGAATTCCATCACTGTAACTCTCAAATTTAGTTTATGACAACTTGTATGAATTTTTTGTCTGATTTTTTTTTGATTATTTCGAACTACAGTAAACCAACTTTTCTCTGAGTTCTCGCTGTTGACTTTCTGAGGTATTCTGGTATGAAAAAGTCGATTAGGTGGAAGAGAAACGCTCGTGACCGAAGATCTCAGATCGAAAACTAACTTCGAAACGAATTTCATCATAAAACATTTTTTCGTCAATTGTCTGTTTTTTGGATTTTTTTTTTAATGAACTGTTCTTGAATTACGATTTGCTCGGGAGAAAGTGACAGAAAATTTGTAAAAACTCAAAACGAATTTCAGATTACGATAGTTTTCGTTTTGGGATTTTTGGACAAATTTTCATACCAGTTCGATATGAATTTTTTTTCTAAATTTTCGGTATGACAGAAATTAATAGAAGGTTCTGATCATCAAATTATCCAAATCTCGTCATTTTTCTATTTTTTGTTAGATTCCAATTGAGTTTAACTTATAACAAGTTAAACTTCAATGTTCCCAAAATTTCTGATTTTTGGACTATTGTAACAATTATCATTTGAAACAAAAACTCACCGAAAAATTGAAGCAAACTCGATTACTGTTCCGTTCTTGTCTGTTGTGAGGACGTTGAGCTCGCGCAACCATCGGGCGCAGCCCATCCAGCTTTCATGCCCCACACTCATGGGTACCTGAAATTATTTAAAATTATAGAAATGAAAACCCCAATTTTTCATCATATAAGGAATTTTTGCTAAATGTAAGAGAATCGTTCTCGTTTTTAGAAAAGAGCAGAGGCTAGTATGTTTTCAATTCCACTTTATTTCGTACGTTCGCTAAGAGTAAACATTACTTTATAGACGAGTCTGACATAGAGAACCATCGAGGTATATTGTCCGAAACGATAAGAAGAAGAGGGACCAAATGACTCAGTGTGTTGGACAAACTCGGATCGTCATAGAGCGCGCGGAAGGTCAAAACGAATTGGATAGCTATGAATGGTGAATGGGCAAAGAATATGGAATAGTTCAAGACGTTTTTTTTTCCTCGTCCTCTCTTCAATCTTTTATCGCTTCGACCCGAAATATAGGTCAGAGTAGCAGCTGGTTAGTTGGACTTTATTGAATGATGATGATGATGATGATGATGAGGGAAATAAGAAAAGGGCGTTATGGGGTGTGGACTCGAAATGGGAGGAGAAGAAAAAGGAATCGTGGTGAAGGCTGAGGGAAAATCAAAGCGCAAAAAAGTCCTAAGATGAGGTGACGCGGAAACCAAATTGATGAAAGAAGTCTCTAGAAATTAACGGGTTTGGTAGATGGAGAGCAACTATAGTGAGCTTGTGACAGCAAAATTGGATTGTTTTTTTTTCCCTGAATTCAGCAGCAAAGTGCGAAAGTACTTCTAAAGGCTCATTTAATTTTCAAGAAATTTGTTTTCTGGTGTCAGCTGATTTGAGTTGCAATTCTTATTTTAATGGCTGCAATTAAGTTTTTTAATGCAAAAAATACTGTAGAGCGCTAACTGGACTTCCAGGGACCTTGTTATTAGGTAAGGGTGCTGAGTTTTTTTTTTTTTGAAAACTCTTACATGGAATGACTCCCAAGTGTTACCCTCGAAAAAAATCGAGACATACATGGTTGGATGGAGCGTAAAAAGTTATTTTAGATTCCAAACGGAATAGTTGGTAAAAAATTTCTTTTGGGAGTTATGGTCCAAAACATCCAACCATATAGGTCTCGATTTTTTTCGAGGGTAACACTTGGGAGTCATTCCATGTTAGCAATTTTTGAAGTTAAATGGTTTTTGTCTTTGTGGAGCTCAAATTAGGTCTTTACAGGATTTTGAGCCATTGAAAAGTAAGCTCAGAACCGGAAATCAGGGGATACCTAGAAGAACTATGTAGAAATTTGATTAGTCTTTGAAATCACTTACTAACAATAAGATATAAATGAAAATTTCACGAAAAAGCGACACACAAAAAGAAAAATTGCGTGAAATTTGAAAAATTTTATTGGCACCTTCCAACTTCTACAGCTCCAAAAATGAAAATTTGATTTAACATTTCTAGGGCAAATTAGACAACAAAATGATACAAAAACTCATCAGTTCGTTCTCAACTTTCGAAAAACTAATGTTTGAAGCAAAATCAATGAAAAGTGACGATTCATTTCTTATCTTAAGTCGTTTCCTGTGATTTGTTGTGTGTGTTGGAAATCGGGAATTGGTGGAAAAGAAAACTATCAAAACGTTACCTTTTTGCAACTTGGAATTAGTGGGAGATAATTATAATTATCTTCTCTCTGAAGCGATGAAACCAAATAGGATAACATCAGAATATCGAGAAGCACATATAGAAAAGACGACGTGAATTGTTACGGGGCAAGGAATAAAGACTAATTGTTGCGGACCATGAGGGAGAAGGTTAGTGGTGGTGGTGAGGAAAAAAACCGGAGAGGAAGAGAATGACCGAGAGAGTGTGAACTTGAGAAGAGACGCAGAAAGATTACAGATAGGTATGGGCCAATACAAGGGAGGTGCGTCGCAATGTCATAGCGGTATAACACACACGCTGCCGCTCACCTTCCACCACTACGCATTGTCGGGTGGGGGGAACTGTCTGGTCGCACTCGATTAGATGCACTCTCTCTCTCTTTAGTTTGACACGCTCATAGAGGTAGAGAGAGAGAGAGTGCCCTCACGGATTGGAGTCTACCATGCCCCGGTAACGAGAAGGAGAAGAACGAGGACAGTTGAAGAAGTTTGCACAATGCCTAAAGGGTGTCCTTCCGATCAGGTCGTTCCTCACACTTTAGCGGAAGAGAAGTCGGAAAATCGAGAGAGTATGGTATTGGAAAATCTTTGGCTCTTTTTTGGAGCAAAATTAGAGTGAGAGAGCAAAATGATGTGACCGTATTTGTTTAGGTTGTTTTTCTTTACGCGTATTTTCTATTATTTTTTTTCATATGTACTTTGAACAGGACAAATGCAAGAAATCGGGAGTTGGTGAGCAAAGATTCGTAAAAAATCATAAAGATTCATGAAGCAAAGATTCAAAAAAGTCGAAGATTCATATTGTAGATTGAAGGAGTAATGAGCATTGAAAGTACCAGGAAATGACGAAAATAAGGAAAATTATTTTCAACAAAATTAGTAAAACACCGTAAATCTAATAGAACACCGCCGTATGCTTCTACTTCCGTCCTAATTATCTTGGTTACTGTAAGATATATCGAAAAACTGTAAGCTAATAAAATGTTCGTCATGATATTAAAACAGTTTATCAGCTGACAGATCATTCATATCTCTTATAAAAATTGAGTTAACCGAGCTTAAAGGTGCAAGTCAAAAAAAAAAGTTCCGTGAAAGAGCATTTACGGTATGAAAAATACTGGAATGAAACATTCTGAAAATCGATAGGAATTCTGAAAATTAAAAAAAGAAACAAGAAATATGAAAATGAGTATTCTAAAATTTTGGAAAATTAATTTTTTAAAAATTGAACACCAAAAATCGTTATTTCAATTTTTGCTTGTTTTCTTGAGTATTATTGGTTTGAATAGGAACAATAAATCATACAAAAATGAAAATTTTCAATGGGAATGGAAATTTCAAAAAATTAAAGCAGAGGACAGGAACATAGGAGCTCATAATTTGTAAGAAACAACTTCTTCAAAATTTATGCAAAACCGTAATTCTCAAACTATTCTTTTTGAGTTATTGAATTCTATCCGTTAGCAACTGAGAATAAACCTAGATTTGGAAGAGGAGCAGTTTATAATCAGGCTTGTATTGAATAAATTAGCATTTTGAACATCTCGGACCTAGAAATGTGTTACCTACTAGGGAAGTATGCGCCTCACATCAATCTCATGTTCCATCAGAAATGCCACCACTCAGGATCATGTTCTTGTGCCATGTTAGTGCTCTCACTCTCGACCACACACATACACAACTGTCCACACTCAACACAGGCTGGCTAGCTAGATGTCTCCACTGTCCACTCGAGAAAAGCGCATTATCCGCCGCCACCTTTGGGATTCCAAGTCGTGAGAAAATAACGCAAAAAAGGGAAATAAATGTTTAGCACACTCTACAAACTGTAGGCAGGAAGAGGTTGTGAATGGAACATAATTATTTATCGGAAAATGGCCAAAAAGGGATTATTTTCTTTCCTCCTTTCCAAATATTTCGCAGTTCATTGAACTAGAAATAAGAGTGGAATTTAAAGTGAAATCATGAGAATGACATAACATGATGAGAGAGACAGACAAAGAGAATGTGTTCAGGAGTGGTGGTCAATGATATTGAGATCACAGGAGAAAGATATAGGGATATGAAACGGGAAGGTAAATGTTTGTCTAACGAATTTCGAATGATAACCTTTCTCTTCACACTGAACGTCTCCTGGTGAGATTTTAGAAGGTCGCAAAGCGAGAGAAAACACTAGAACTGATTTGTGAACCCCGTAACTATACAGGTATTCGGACGAACCTATGAATCATAGTTCCTTTCAAAGTTTCGAAATGTCCAAGGCAACAGAGAAGGTAACACAACAACACAATAAAAAACTTTGGAAACATTTTTTTTTTAAAGAAAAAATGTAATATATTAGAAATGTTTCAGAAAATGTTCTAGAAAATGAAAAATGCGTGGGATCCAGTCAGGAAAAAAGAACAAAGTGTGTTAAAAGAACTGGGGGGACAAAGAGCATAAGCATATCCATCAAGGAGATTGAAACTTGAGAAGAACGTGTCTTATTGTTGTTGTTGTTATTGTGATGAAATACATGAAATATGAGAAAGAAGGGATCGAGGGGTTTTCCAGAAGGTTTTAGGGGAAATAAAAGGTTTTCGGAGGGAACATATTGAATAAAGCTCACTGTAAACACTTTAATAGAACGCCACCCGAATCGTCAAATTTGAGCCCATGTATCTCATTTTCTGTGAAAGATATCAAAAATTTGTTGACTAATGAAATGTTGTTGATATCTTGGCAAACATTTTATTAGTTGACAACTTTTTTATATCTTTTGAAAGAAGTGAGATATATAGGTTTAAAGTGGTCGGTCCGGGTGGCGTTCTATTAGAGTGTTCACGGCAGACATGAGCGGATTAAAAATTTTGAAAATCCGGAATAAGGAATAAGGAAGAAGGAATGAAATTTAAAAATAAGGAATAAGGAATAACAATTTAAAAATCAGGAATAAGGAATAAGGAATAACAATTTAAAAATCCGGAATAAGGAATAAGGAAGAAGGAATAGAAAAACACCCGGAATGAGGAATAAGGAATAAAGAACGAAAGAATTTCCGAACGAAGGAAGATTTCTTTTTGTCTTGAAAAACACTGTTAGAAAAAGTTTTAAAGTTTTGAAGAGGAATAACAAAAAAAATCAGGAAGAAGGAAGAAGGAATAAGGAACAAAATTAAAAAAACTCGGAAGAATGAATAAGGAATAAGGAATGAAAAATTTAAAACCCAGAAAAAGGAATAAGGAATAAGGAATTCCGCTCATGCCTGGTTCACGGTACTTACAAATTTGTAGCTAATTTTAAAATCGTTTTTTGGATTTTTCTTTAAAATCTTGAGAATCTTTAAACTCTGAAACTTCATGATACGAATTCCCGTTACTCGATGGTTTTGAATATATTTTCAAAATATCTTCAAAATCTTTAAAAAGTTATA